CCGACACGAGAGTTGCCAACACGATGACACCACATGCTAGCATCATTTCACTACACACACTCTACCGTCATGGGCGCATACTCAATGCGCTTTTATAGTATCGCTTCAAATGCACGTCAGCCTATCCCATGCCTTCACTTTCACGCACACCTCCACACTTCTGCAAATGTTTGTGCTTGCGAGCATGACTTCACACTCCACGCCATCATCTTTGGTGGTTATGCGTGGCTGGCAAGCTGCGGAACCGTTGGTCCTCATGAGGAGTGGTGTGCGCCTTCCTACTCTACTATTGTCCTTTTGTGGTGCGTGTGTCCACATGCTGCGTCGCCCGTCTTGTCGTGGAGGACGACAATCGGCATTAAGCGTACCTTGGCATTGCCGTCAATGGCAAACGTAGAGTTTCCCAACTGCAACGTGGTTTTAGACTGAGCACTACCGTTGATTGGGCAACAAGGAGGAAAGAGTGAAAGTTCATATTAAGCGTGGTCTGCTTGGCCAAGCATTAGTAGTTGGTGCAATGCACCGGTCATTTGTTGTCGAAGGATGAAGAGGCATAGTTGAGTGGTGTGGGAAAAATTTGTATACAGCATGGTGGTAGAACAGACAACAATGTCATCAACAGCAGTTTTAATGAGAGGTTAAGCAAATCGACTTGTCAACATTGCCACCAAACAGGCAATATCATGCACCGCATATGGCACTTGCACAACTGGCAAGGCGCTGATATAAATACTACAAATTGGCGAACTACTTCTCATTCCTAACCCTTTCTTCCTACCTTCCTACTGGAGCGGCAAGAGGCACTTTCTAAAGCGTTAAATACCTTCAGATAGGAGGTGATTCCACCCTCAAGTAACCGCTTCCCTCCAGCCTATTGTACCTCACCACCATCAACTGCGACATCTCTTTCAGTTCACTGGTACGGTAGCAGGCTAAATCGATGGCATCTCCTCGTCAGCCACCATGAGTGTGCAACCCTCATGTGCTGCTCAATATGCCATTAGCATTTGTTGAATACTCATATCACTGCACTGTCAAGGCGCACGACGTGTGTCGCCAATAATTACGAGACTCGCAAAAGTAGGTTTGAGCACTGGCACCGTATTTGGTGCACCTATCATAGCTTTGCGCGCAAGAGGATGGACAGAGTTGGACCCCGTCGGATGGGAAGAGCAACAGCCTCCTGGCTCAGGTTGACCAATTGGATGGGAGGGACTGCACCACAATACGGTGCATGAGTTAACGATGCTGTGTTTCATGGTGGGCCAAGAGACTACGCCAATGCCCAGCAGCGAATGAGTGGAAATAAAAGGGGACGGAGAGGAAGCGCAGGTATGCAGCGAAGAGGTGCACCTGCAAAAATACGTCTGCATCAAATGCTCCCCCAACAAATAAACGACGGACACCTGCTTAAAAAAATGGAGAATCGCCTCGGATCAGTCTATGCGCATCAGATGCCTCAACATTAGCGACTATGCGTCCACCACCACCACAAGGCTCATCGGTCCCTCAAAACGACGGCGTCTCGAACCGCACAGATTGTGGTGCATCTTCGTGCAATTACAGTCGAGAGGCCACATTCATTCCACCATCACCAGCGCTTCCTTCCGCCACAGCTACCGTCGCCTCCTCCTCCACCTCCATCACGGTGCCGTACGCAAATGACAGTTGGCTACGTTGTGGCACGAAACCGATTTCCCAACATATTGTCACCACTGTGTGAGGACGTGGATTGCAGAATCATGCGATCTGCCTAAAATGCACTCCAGTGGTTGAGGCGGAGCGATTGCACTTCCACTGTGGCATACCTTCCGACCACTCACAAACG